ACACACAAACACACACACACACACACACACACACACACACACACACTCTCTCTCTCTCTCTCTCTCTCTCTCTCTCTCTCTCTCTCTCTCTCTCTCTCTCTCTCTCTCTCTCCAACTGTCTCTGCGTCCCCCCCCCCCAACACACACACACGCACACGCGCGCACACACCATAACTGTACTGACCAGTCTGCGTCCTTGACTTCGGCCTCGTGGGCAGCAAACACAACCAGCTCCCAATCAACAGAGCACGACTGGCATTGCAAAAAGAAGAAGGAGACAAGTATGTGAGTATGTGGATGTTGGGCGTGTGAGAGGCGTGGTTGGTGATTCGATGGAAGGGCACTCAATCGATGATCACACATCAAGTGATCACAACCAAGCACACATACACACACACACACACACACATACACGCACACACCTCTGCACGCACGTTCACACTCATACATACGCACAGATATATACACACACACGCACACACACACACCTGCACGCAGGTTCACACTGACCTTGTGCTGGACGTCTTCGGAGACGTTTTCGAGGGAGATGGAGGAAGGTGACCCCGAAGGAAGCTGAGAGGTAGCGGCCACATGTCACAGCACACGTGAAACATTAGACACGGTGTCGTGGTGGTGGTGGTGGTGTGAAAGGGACCCACAACAAGGGCGCACGCAAACTGGTGCACGCGGTCAGCTTAACGTACACACACACACGTACATGTGCACAACACACACACATGTGCACACACGTACATGTGCACAACACACATGTGTGCACACACATGTACACACACGCACACACACACACACAAAATGCAGTGCGGACCTTGAAGGAGAAAGGGTATGCGTTGTCGCCGAGCTTGCGCACGAGCTTACGCTGCAGCGATGACAGCTCTGGTTTTGGCCCTTCCGGTGGGTACACCTTCACGCATTGGCTGTCGTGTAACGTGTTGGGCGGGTCATGTTGAGTGTGCGCTGTGGAAAACCGCAGTTCATGCACACAACAAATGTCTTGCGTAACTACAGCCACACACACACACATAGCAAATGTCATGCGTGACTACAGCCGCACACATGCGCACGTATGTATGCACACGACCACCAACCTGTACAGGGTGCTTGAGAAGGCGCTGCCAAGGAGCTCACCAGCATCCGTTGGGAAACTGCAAGCCGCGTTGGCAGTGCAAGAGTGTGAGGCGATGGCAAGGAGAGAGCAGCGGCGAAAGAAGAGGTGAAGAGCGGAGATACGAGGTGGAATCAAACAGCATCAACAAGCAGCCGAGCAGATGCGTTGCGCTCACACACACAAACACACACACACACACGCTCACAGACGCACACACTCTCTCTACCACACACACACACACACACACACACACACACACACACACACACACACACACACACACACACACACACACACACACACACACGAGAAGCAGAACATGAAGAACGTCTATGATGGGTGCAGCAAAGGAAGTCAAACAGAGAACAGGCAACCAAACAGGCAACATTGACAGATTCTGAGAACGTGGATGAGAAAGGAAACAAGGAATGTCGCACGACGGTGCAAGAAGAAGACTGGAAGCTTGGACGCGTCCTTCAGGGTCGTGCACAGCTGCATGCAGGGCATTACTGCAGGGCTCGCATGGCTGATGTGAGGTTTGAAACCACTGCTTTCGAGGCTTCCCGTGGGTGCGTTTCAAACAGTTGCTTCAGGATCCCAATGAGGAGTCGAGGGGTGCCAAAGGCAAGGGAACCCACGTTGGCGCTTGTGACTTTTTCTGGCACGCATGTCATGGTGCCTTTGAGGTTGACCGCCATCAGCTTGTCGCTGAGCTGCTCTCCGTCTTGAAGCTGAAGCTCAAATATGCTGCGATTGGCCTTCTCCAACATGGCCGAAACTTCCTCGTTCAGCTCTTGCCGTGTCAGCACAACGTCGTCATCGTCAAGCTGGTCGTCCTTCAGCGCGTTGTCAATCTTGGTCAAGGCCAGCAAGAAGTGCACAGACGCCGCCTTGAGAGAGTGCACAAGTTCTCGTGTGGCCTTGTTCTGGTTGAGGGTCAGCACAACCACTGATGACATGGAGCGAAGCCCATAGTCTCGAATGACCTTCTCTGCCGAGCTTGCAATGCAGTCCCAGCCTCTGGTGTCCCAGACAATGACAGTGTCGGAGACCTTGTATGGGGTGGGGTCACGTCTGTCATCGTCATTTGTAACGGCGTCACGCCCCCCTTCGCGCTTTGCCTTCTTGATGTGGGCTTTCCATTCCTTCAGCAATGGATCAAAGAGCTGAGCCGCACGCTCTTGGTCTGACGTTCCGACTGTGCTGCCCTGTTTCTGCGCCGCGTGCGATGGAAGAGCCCATCCTCCCGACTCAATCAGGTGAAAGGCAGTCGTTAGACCGTACCTCAAGGTGGTTTTGCCGCTGTTTTGCGCGCCAATGATGCAGATGTTGTAGTAGTCGGAAACCTTTCCAGGCACGCCAGCTTTCTCGAGGTATCGCTGGAAAGGATGGGGTTTTGCGGCGTCTGCATGAACGTGAGGGGGTGGGCGCTGTGCAGCAGGCTTCGGTGCCTTTGATGAAGAGCCTTTGCCGATCACTCTCTGAAGCAGCTGATCGACCTCCCGGACAAAGTGTTGGCAATTGTATTTGAAAGGACCGTAGGTCTTGTTCCGTTTCGTGTACAGCACGTCGTGCAGGTGCTTCACTGTACAGTTCATGGTCGCGTGGTTGAACTGATATGCCGATGCGGGCCTCCCATCCATAGTGCTGATGCCATTCTTGATTGCCTCTTGTTTGGAGTTGCGAATGAACACCTCGATGTTGTCGCCGACGTTGAACCCGACGGCAACGTATTTCGTCTCCAAGCGCTGTTGTCCGTGCTGGGCCACACGTCTTTCAATCTCGAAGACGTAAAACCAGTGGTGTGGCTGGGAAACGCATGCCGTGCTGATGCCGAGCGTGAAGATGGCTCCGAACACGTACCCAGTCCATGCCCCTCCCGAGTTCAGATCGTTGTAGTACGTGCGCTTGTCCGTGACACGCCAGTCATGAAATTGACGAAGGCTTCCAAGACCGTCAGGTTTTCTTGGTTGTCTAGTCGAAGAAGAAGAAGAAGAAGAGCTTCCCATGTTGCAGTTGTCCTGTTGTCGTCGTGTGGAACCCGGATGGACTTGACTACTTGACTTGACGGGGTCTTCTTGTTGAAGGCTTGTAGGCTTGTGCTTGGAATTGGAAGGATCAGATCTGAAGGACGGAAGGGAAGGTTGGAAAATGAACGTCATCCTCGTTGCAGTGCTGCAAGATTTGCTTCGATCTTGCATGGGATGGGCACAGGCCTACAGGCCCTGTGCGACTGTGACTAGGTTGTGGTTGTTTCATCCAGTCATCGAGTAGTCGAGTCATCCATCCATCCTATCCATCCTCGTCGAGTGTCGTACATCATCCATCCATCTATCCATCCGAGTGTGTGAAGTGTCACTGGCACATGACTCATGCGAACTGTGGCTGACTCATCGTCAAAACCTGAAGTCAGTCGCACTCCACTACACTTCATACTGTCGCTAACCGCCACTCTTCCTCGCGAGTCACAACGCTCCCAAAGACCTTCAATCACGATTTCATTCTGCCTGATGCAACCTTGCATCACTTGCTCGAGATCGAGTCAGCGTTTGAACTCGCGCGGGTCAAAGAACCGAACGCGACCACACACACACCTACACACGCATGCAAACAAACAAAACAAAACCAAACAAAACAAAACCGGGACGCCGCGTTGTCGTTGAAAGTCTCGATGACCCGCGAACGCGATTGCCTGCAATGACCCTTCCTTGCAAAAGCTGCCGCGATTGGACGGGGCATTCGACGTATCGAACGCCCCTCTTTGCACACGCCTCACCTCTTTGTTTTAACTCTGTCGAACGTGCTCGTGGCCACGAGGTTTCATGCCTGTCCGCCCATTTGCAGCCGCGGGTTCGCGAGCGGGACACACCAGGACAACCCGCACATGCCTTCGAGCCACTTCCGAAACACCCAATGTCCCGATGCAGATCGTTGCTTGCCTCATGGTCGCACACAATGTGATTGCGGGTGTGTTGGCTGCGTGGGTGCGTTTCTGCGCAACCCCCACCCAGCACAAGCGCTTGTCGATCAACGATGAATGAAGCAACGACCACGATGCAACGATGGATGCAACGGCGAAGGTTTTGCCAATCTGCTGGCTGGCTGCTGCTGCTTTCCGCTTGCTGCACTCACGGCTTCATTCGTCGTTTGCGTTCCCACGCTGAACACGCTTTCTTGCCGCTTGCTTGCTCTCGCTGCCTGCACGCAGGCAGGTTCGGCGTGCAACGAAGCAAGGATGTGCACGCTGTTTTACATGAGCGCGTTTGATCTTTGCGTGCTTCGTTGGCCGTCTCCTCTCCCGCTCCACCACTTTCGCGCTCTCCCCACCTGTCCATCGGGCATGTCACACTACGCAAGGTGGTTGCGATGGCTCGTTCGCGTTGCATACCACAACCCGCAACCAAACACGGCCTGTCCGCTTGCTGGCCTTTTCTGTGGATCTTTGCTGGTTGCTGTCGCGGTTTCAAAACCAAAAAACAGTGATGATGATGGCCACGCCACTGCCTCCTTGCTGTTCTTACTTCTTCGTGCACGGTGGTTCCCCGGCTGGCTTCAGCACCCAAACACCCCAAACACTCGCACAACCCACGCAACACACGAGGAGGGGGGTGTGACGGCCAATCGACCAATCCACGCGCGAAAGGGGCTTGCGCCTTGCTCCTCGCCCGCATTTTTCCACGCCACCATCCTTCACCGGTATGTTCGTGTGTGAGTGTGCGCTGATGCATGTGTGGGTGCATGTGTGGGGTGGGGCTATCGCTCCCTTGATTCTGCTCGCTGGCTTGCCTTGCTTGCCCCTTCATCGCCCTTGCTTGCTTCCGTGCTTGTCGTTGCTTGATCTCCACACCAATCCCCTTGCACGCCACACAGCCCAGCCTTACCGCGTGCCTCCACCACCCATTCACTTCGACGCATCCCCCGCTCCATTGCCGCTGCTCTGCACACCATCACTCTTTCTTTGGGGCGCAGTCGATCGTCTCCTGAATCGTGGCCTGTGTTTGGTCCGGCTGCACGATCTCTGCATGAGTCGAGGCTGCTGTGCCCTCACCTCTTGCTTCACGAGTTGTTCCTGCAAGCAGTCGCCGTCCTGGTGAGTGACACACATCAACGTTTACGTTACGTTGGCCACCACAACAGCCGCTACATCACCCAGGATCACCATCAACGTTCGAGCAATTCAGCACACCAACCACCCCAGCCCACCACTTATATATTCAAGTGAAGCTCGCAACAAGTGCCAAGTGCCAAGCGCAAGCACAAGTGCAACCGTGCAACCGTTTTGCTCCATTGCAGCAGCAGCAGCAGCAGCAGCAACGTCGTTGCCTGCACCGCAGCTACTCTCACAACTGCGTGTGTGGCTTGGTAGGTAAACATTGCAGTCCAACACACAAACCCAGCAGCCCCGCGCCTCACATGCGCGGGCCGGGCGATCATCGCTTTCATCCCTATCCCTGATCCCAAGCATCACGCCGTTGCCCTCGCCCCACAGCAACATCCTGACTCGTTCACCTGACTCACGGTGACTCTGTGATCTCGTCTCAAACAACGAAGCGCATTTCCCCCTCCACGACAGCCCTCCCCACCACCGACCAGAGGCATCAACTCATGCACTCAAGCTTGTTGCGTGTCTCGGCACATTGCTTCTTCGCTCCACCCCTCATCTTGCCAACCATTCAGCGGCTGTCGCTGCACCAGCGGACGATCTTGGTCTTGGTGAGTGATGGTCTTGAGTGGCGCACACATGCAATGCATTGCGCCCCCCCCCATCCATATATTCTTCTCCACCAGTCCATTTGACTTGTCGGTGCATGGTTTGGCTGGATGGCCTTGGTGACTGATTGTACATGAAATACATGCACGTCGTGTGTGTGTGTGTGTGTGCATGTGTGTGTGCATGTGTGTGTGCATGTGTGTGTGTGTGTGTGTGTGTGTGTGTGTGTGTGTGCATGTGCCATGCACAGCATACACCGCTGATCCACTTGTGTGACGAAATCACCCCCCCCCCCCCTTGACAACCATTCTTCCTCATCCGTGCCTCATCACGCACACATCCCCACGCACACACTCCCTTCTTGTAGATCAACTCGCGAACTAACAGCACATGAGCACACAGTGCCCTCTCCAAGCGTCTCATCAAGGTCTGTGTACATCGGCGCTTCCTGGGTCGCTTCCTGGGTTGCTTGCATGCACGCTGTGATGCACAGCTACCCCTCCCTCGTTCACACACACAAACAGACAGACAGACACACACACACAGACACACACACACACACACATACATACACAGCGTCGCTCGATGGCAGTTTCACATCCCCATTCTCACACCTCCCCTCTCCCCTCCCCCTTCGCTTCCTCGCATGCATTATGCAGAACGGCACACAGACTTCCCCTCCCCCTTCCACATTTGCACTCGTCCGCCTCAACACCAAGATGGCATCTCCTCATTCGCAAGAGGCACAATCCCGCGCCCACAGCAGCAAAGACCCGTCCCACGCAAGCACGCCATCTCCAACCGCCCCAGTGCCCCAGCAGCAGCAGCAGCACCACCACCACCACCACCACCACCACCACCACCACCACCAGCGTGATCCTTCAGCAGGTGCCGTGCTTGCAGGCAAGCGTGAAGGCAAGCAGCAAGGTACTCTCGTCACTTCTTCATCAGCGTTGACAACACGTGCGTTTTATTGTGCTTGTGTGTTGCAATGGTGCAAGCCAATCCAATAGTGTGGTGGTGATACGTCAAGCAAGTGCACACACTTAAGTGTTGCGTGGCCGACCCCCCCCCCCCTCCACTACACATGTGGTGGTCTTG